TTGAATACTACTCGCCCCGTTGACAATATCGTGACTTCACATACTGATAGATATTATCGCAATAATGCACCTGTTCGTCTACCTAGAGAAATTCGAGATGAAAATTATACTAACTCTAGAACTCGCGCGTATGAAAATTTTGAGCCTGTTCCCGAAAGAGGATTATCCGACTCTCGTCGAGATAATTATGTTTATCATTCTCGCTTTGAACCTGAATTTCGTAGCGTTCGATTTCAGGAAAGTTCCTCTCGATCGCCATATGAAAATAGAGGACCTCGTTATGATCGTTATGGCAGACCACTTCGCGAAAATAACCATTACCGACCCTATCTTGACACTGATGATTATCCTTCGGATTATAGTGACGCTTCCGATAATTACGAAAATGATTTTCGACCAAGGTCACGCCCTTATGGCACTTCCGCAGCTTCCGCTTACGGAACTATGCGCAAATGGAACCTTAAGTTCGCTAGATCTAGTCAAGAGGACGCTGAGTCATTTTTGCGTCGCCTCGAAGAAGGTAGAACCTTTTTTCCTATTCGAGACGAAGATTTGTTAAGAATTCTTCCGTTCTTTTTATCTGGTATTGCGTTAAATTGGTTTCGAGGTTCAAAATATCAATGGCGGACTTTCAATCAATTTACTCGCGCTTTTAGGACTCGTTTCGCGGACGTTGATTTCCAATTCGAGCTTAGGCAGGAAATCTATCGTAGAACGCAAGGTGAGAACGAAAGAGTAGCGGACTACTTGACTTGTATGTGGTCGATGTTCGAACGAGTCTCCCCTCCCCTCACCGAGATGGAAGAAATAAGTTACGCCCATCGTAATTTACTTCCTAGACTACAAGTTGCCGTTCGTCGATATGAAGCCGTTTCTCGTGAATTGCTCGAAGACCTCGCGATAGCCGCTGAGAAAACATATCGTGTGGCGAAGTCGTATAGACCTCCCCCCACTCCTGAGCGATCCTTGTTACCGGATCTCGCGTATCGAGAACCTCGCGGTCGTAATATCCATAAAAGAAAGGAAAATTTGAATTTTGTAGCTGATTCTTCCGAAGAAGAAGTTGATAGTTTCTTTTTAACAAATGAAAAGAAACCTAATAAATCAGTTGATAAAGATAAAGTGAAAAACCCTGTTAAAAACGATACTAGCGACCGAAATAAGTCGAAGTCACAAGTTAAAGAGAAAGCTTCCGCCGATGTTTCTAACGATTCCCCGAAATCGCGAAAGAATAATCTTACATGTTGAAACTGTAGTAAAGAAGGACATAGAAGTTATGATTGTACGGAGCATAGAAATATTTATTGTTTTGGCTGTGGTAAACGAGACGTCACTCGTCCCAACTGTACCGCGTGTCAGGGAAACAAATAAGGGAACCGTCAATTAGGGCTAACTCGGTTCCGACTAGTACTATAGAGCCCGCCTATAATATAATCGATAAAGGTCATGTACATTGTGACTATAATAGCGAATCTTCCTTATCTCACGATTCAGATTGCGAAATATTTAGCGAAACATCTTTACCTTTCGATTCGGATAATGAAAATTGCAATTTATTGTTTGACAGTAACCATTCTGAAAAATTAGGCATTGACGTGAGTAAGTTAAATTTAAAACTTTCTTTCAAAAGTTTAAAAACAGCTGAATTATCGTATAATGCGATATTATTGAACCGTACCGAATCTTTACTATTTGTCGAGTTCGAGATACAAGGCATACCATTCACAGCCCTTGTTGATAGCGGAGCTTCTCGCACCTTTATAGGCTCAAAAGGAGTCGAATTAATCGAAAAGCTCAATCTAAAAATCATAGAGAGCTCTGGTAAGGTTCAATTTGCGAATGGCGAAGTCGAAGCTGTTTCTAAAGAAGTTTTGTTACCGATCGATCTTAAGGGTCAAATTAAAGAGATCAATGCTCGAGTATTAAATAGTCTCCCGTACTCATTAGTTGTAGGACTTGATTTTTTGCGAACTTTTCAAATAGTGACTAATTTTGAAAATAGGTCTTGGTTCTTCCAGCATAGTCCTAATCGCGTATTTAAATTTAAAGATGAAGATAATGTTAATAACGTCTGTTTCGGAATTCGCGAACTTACTAAACAACAAGCGGATGAATTAGCCGATTTTCTAAGACGCGAATTACCCCCTCCTTGCGATAAACTCGGACTGACTAACAAAACTCAGCATGTAATTAATACTGGTGATGCCTTGCCGATTAAGCAGAGGTATTATTTAGTCTCGCCAAAAGTACTTGCTGAAATGCATAAGGAAATAGACGAAATGATCAAAGATGACGTCATCGAGCCGTCAGATTCAGATTGGTCTTCGCCTATTATTATGGTCAGAAAGCCTGATGGTACGTATCGCGTATGCCTTGACTTCCGTAAAGTTAACGGTGTTACGAAAAAAGACGCTTATCCGATTCCATATATTAGCGCCATTTTGGATAGATTACGTCACGCGAAATTCATTACGAAATTAGACATGCAAAAAGGTTTTTTGCAAGTTCCACTTCACCCTGATAGCCGTCCGAAAACAGCTTTTACTGTCCCAGGACGTGGACTCTTCCAATTTAAAAGAATGCCGTTTGGGCTTACCAACGCCCCCGCCACTTTTCAGAGATTATTAGATGGTGTCGTCAAAAATATGGATCCTTTTGTTTTCGTCTACTTAGACGATATTATTATCGTCACCGAGACTTTCACTGAGCATTTAGAGTGGCTGAAAAAGGTCCTCGATGCTATTAAACTAGCCGATTTAAAATTGAGTCCAGAAAAATGTGAATTTTGTTGTACGCAGGTCCGTTACCTCGGTTACCTAGTCAACGAAAATGGTCTTCAACCTGACCCGGAAAAAATTGAGCCTGTACTCAATTACCCCGCTCCTCGTACAATAAAACAATTGCGTAGATTTTTAGGCATGACGTCATGGTATCGGCGATTCATACCTGACTTTGCGACTATTGCGTCTCCTCTACATGCTCTGCTAAAAAAGAATGTAAAATGGTCCTGGGGAGAAAGTCAACAAATAGCGTTCGAAAGTTTAAAAGAAAAGTTGACAAGTTCTCCGATATTAGCGTGCCCTGATTTTGAGCTTGATTTTGTGTTACAAACAGATGCCAGTGATTATGGCGTAGGTGCTGTTTTGACACAGAATATAGATGGCGTTGAACGTGTAATTGCGTATGCGAGCAGATCTATGAACGATGCTGAGCGAAATTACACGGTCACCGAGAAAGAATGTTTGGCCGTGAAGTGGGCAATCGAAAAATTCGATTATTATTTAGCTGCCTCTCATTTCACTGTTATAACCGATCACGCTAGCTTGAAGTGGCTCGACAATTTAAAGAAACCTTCCGGTCGTTTGGGTCGATGGGCATTAGCTCTGATGGGTTATAATTATGAAATTGTTTATCGAAAAGGTTCCCTAAACCACGTGCCCGACGCACTCTCTCGTATTAGCGAAGATATAAGTACTGAGACTTTAAATGTAGTCAAAGATCCCCATGACTCATGGTATTTTAGGCGATATATGACGGTAGCCGAATTTCCCGAAAAATTTCCTCTATGGAAAATTATAGACAAACGTCTATATTATTATCGACCTGACTTGTATTTAGAATCTTTGGACAAAGATCTTGACGCGTGGAAATATGTTCCTGAGGAAAACGAGCAGAAAAATATTATTGTTGAAGCTCACAACGATCCTCAAGCGGGCCATCTCGGAGCTCAAAAGACGTATTTGCGAATAACTAAAAGTTATTATTGGCCACACTGTTTCCGAAATGTAGTAGCGTATATTAGAAATTGTTCCATTTGTAGTACTTGCAAAGTAGAACAATCTCTTCCACCAGGTCCCATGGGACGTCGCGTTACCGAAGAACCTTGGACTGTCGTTGCGTTAGATATCATCGGACCTCTTCCTCGTAGCAAAGCTCAATTTCAGTACATCTTGGTAATACAAGATTTGTTTACTAAATGGATTGAGTGCGCTCCCTTAAGAGTAGCGAACGGAAAGAAAATTTGCGAATTGTTTCGAGAACTCGTTATTAACCGCTGGGGTACTCCCCAAGTGATCTTGAGCGATAACGGTACTGAGTTTATCAATAGCGTTATTCGATCTTTGACTAAAGAATATAATATTTTCCACTCTACTACGCCGCCATATCACCCACAGGCCAATCCTGTAGAAAGAGTGAATAGAGTGTTGAAGACGATGATTATTTCCTATATAAAAAAGGATCACCGAGAATGGGATATGCATCTTCCCGAATTTAAATTTGCGTACAATACAGCTTATCACAGCAGTATTAAAGCCACACCTGCTTTTCTGAATTTAGGTCGCGAACCTAAACCCATTAATAGTTTACGCAAAAAGATTGAAAATGTTACCGAAGTAGAAACTCAATCTCCATCCAGTTGGAATGAGAGAATGAAGAAAATGAATATAGTTCGCGATTGGGTTGTTAAAAATCTCGACGATGCTTTTGCGAGACAATCGAAATATTACAATCTTCGACGAAGAGAGTTTCGTTATCACATTGGTGATTTAGTATTAGCGCGTACACACCAACTATCTTCGAAGGAGAAAAATATTGCCGCTAAATTGTGTCCTCCTTTTTCTGGCCCCTTTAAGATTTCCAAAGTATATTCGTCACTTGTATATGATATTAGTGATTTAAATAATAAAAAGGTGAGAAAAGTTCATATTGAAGACCTAAAACCCCATCGCGGACCCAACGACAATGTTAATCTAGCCGAATAAATAATTTTTTTTTATAATAAATTTGATTTTTTTTGTATAAATAAATTAATTTTCGGTATATAAATTAATTTTTGTAAATAAATTAATTTTTTTTTTTAAATAAATAAAAAAAAAAGATTTTGTAAATAAATTAATTTTTTTTTTAAATAGATAAATATAAATTTTGTAAATAAATAAGGATTAAAATTTTGAGATTTAATAAATTTTCTTTGGGACTTATTTACACTCTAATTTTAGGAATATTCTCTGAGACCCAGCGCCATGGCTGAAGCCACGCCTCCGAGATGTTGGAATTGTCTAGATATTGGCCATAGACATTCGTCATGCCCGAAATCTTTTACGAGTAAATTTTGTTTTCTTTGCGGAAACTCAGAGTATACTTCAGTAAATTGTCCCAATTGTAATAGGAAATTTTCAAGGAAAGGCCGAGATCACGTCAAAAGAGCACGAGAATAAATCAATTGTAATATTCCCATTCGTATTTTGTTGTTATATTTTCCACTTTTATGATATTTACTCACTCTCGTTCTAAATTTTAGGATTATTCGCTGAGACCGCCCGCGATGACTGACGATAGACCGCTAGTTGATTCCCTCGCTGAGTCCGATATTCTTCAACCAATGACCCGCCTACGTTTGCAGGAATCCTTGGCGAAATCACAAGCAGAATCATATCGGCTGGTAGTCTCACTGCACAAGTTAGTTTCCCAATTGGACCAAGAACGCTGTCGTACCGCCAAGCTGAAAACCAAGGTTAGGAAGCTAAGAAAGAACTACAATACTGAGAAAATGAATCCATCATCGAATCACCCGCAGAAAGATGCAATCAAGGTTTATTGCGACAGATGTGCTGTCCTTATATCTCCCGCCTCAATAGAGGTTGTCAACGACGATCGTCCGCTCCATCCGAACGACTCGCGATCGACAGGATCATCAGAATCTGTGAGTGAAGGTTCTGCTATTTCTATTGCACTACCCTCACATCTTCAGCCTATCAAACCACAGTCTGACGAACCAAAGTTGGACCCCTCGATTCAGCCATCCGTGCCGCCGACAATCGAAACCGACCTGAATTCTAGCGTACCAACACTGGGTGTGAATTCTACGAAAAATCCAGTCGTGATGCCTTCTGTGAATGGACAAAATTCTACCGCTTCCAAAGACGCCCCGCCATCGCCGGAAAACGACACGACAAAGGAAAATGAGAAAAACCCCGTGATGTTAGACCCTACAACTAAATATACTGGAACCATTCCTAAAATAATTCCTGTAAAGAATCCCAAACCCGAAAATTTGCTTGACGTGACCTCGGAATCCGAGAATTCTAAAGATGACGAAATATTGCGGGGCAATGGCTGCCCCAAACGTTGTCACGCTCCCTCTGCTCCCACACACGTCGAGGAAAATAAGTCGATAAAACGAAAAGAGCCCCCCCTCCGAGATCCGTCCCCTCAATTACCAAAACCCGTTTATTCTTACTATCGATCAAAACCAAAAATTGGTTGCTGGAATTGTGCCGATCCTAACCATCGCTATCCTTCTTGCCCCAAGCCTTTTCTGTTCAGATTTTGTTTCCACTGCGGACTGCCTGGATATACATCACTAAATTGTCCCGATTGCGACGGAAAGGAAAAGATCGAAGGAAAGGACTATTTTCGCAAGTCACGAAAACAATAGCTTATTCCCTGTCCCGAATCGAATTGATTATAATAGTTATTTTTTTTTACGAGAATCTCTTTCATTTTTCCTTTCAAACTAATACTAGATTATTACAAAGTAATTTTTTTGGTTAATGGTTGACTATTACCATAATTTGGTATTGAGAAAGTGATAAATAATTTTATTTTGTAATCAGATTAAGAATTGCAACAATTGCTGTACCTTTTTTTTATTATTTGGTCGGATATGGCCTATAGTACTTGTACTTTGCCATTTAGTTTTGACTCACTTAGATCGACAAATTCCCAGTCCCGTTGGACTATTTACTAATTAGAGCATTTATCTCGATGAAACCTTTATTTCGTATGATTAGTTGTATAGAGATATTATGTATAGTTATATAGTTTAAATCACACCTCGTCGATTGTTTCTAACAATTTCGTTTAAAAATAATTTCTGATCTGATTCGTTACAAAAAAAAAAAAAAGAAAAATTTATATTTTTTTTTAATATATAAAATTATATATCATTTCGTTAGCACCGTTGTGCATTCTTCTAATTACATTTATGAAAAATCTCTAAATAATACGTTTTGTTCATTATGTATCATTGTGTCTTGAAGAAATAAAAATTTTAATTTCTTTATTTTAAATTGGGTAGTATTTTATTATGATATTTTTTTTTTGAATAATAGAATAATGAATCACATGAAAGAAAATTGTGGATTGCATTTTTTTTGTAGCTTCGCTAATATTACTTCCAGAGCACTAGCTCGGTATCGGGGTAGCACATTGTGTCACTTAATATTGAAAATAGTTTTGTTTTAAATTTGAAGTTGTTATGATAAAGTTAAATTATGTAGAGTTCATTTTGTCGTGTCCCGATTTTAGAAGCAAATGATATTTAAATAAACACTCTAATTAGGGTATTAATTTGAAATATTTTTAAATTCACTAATTTGTTAATGATGATTATTTCTCTGATCACGCATGATTAAAATTAAGTTTTGTGTTGATAATGGTCGAAAGTAGGCCGGAGCATTTCGAGCAGAAAAGTTTGAGATTTGGTTGTCGACTTGACCCATAAACAAATTCGCGGTTAATTTGGTCTTGAAATTTTGTTTAGTTTTGAACTATACATTGCGTGGCGGATTGACCCGCACACGTGGTGTAGAGGGAGGAGTTGTAACGTGAATATTTTTTACACGTTACACCCGAGTTAATAATTAGAGAAATTAAATTTAGGAGAAAATGATCTTCTCCTGTTGGACACTTTTCTGCATTAACCTCTGCTCTGCGATCGACCACAATGATTTTGCGCTTATTATTATTTTTTTTTGTTTACTGCTTTATTTTTTTTTATGTTCGCTGTGAGCTATTTTTGGACATCATTCTACATCACCACAACTAAGGAACGATAGTAGTCTTGGAGGAGTTTCTGGTCTAACCATACATCACACTGGCTGTACGATGCCCTGCTGGCTGTTTGACGCCGCACACTTACTCTCGATGCAATGGCTGTTCGATGTCGCATTTTGGCGATTTGCTGCCGCACTTTGGCTGTTTGGTGCTTTGCTGGCAGTTCGATCTCGCATTTTATTTTGGGGACGTGACGACCCTGTTTTTATTGTTGTCTATTTGGTGCTGAATCTTGGCCTGTAAAGGCCGTATTTCGACTGCATTTGCCTTATTTTGGACATTGGAGAGGATTTTAATATTTGGCTGTTTTCGCCTGTTGTTTTTTTTTTTAACACATCAAGTGGTTTGGTTTCGGACCAAATCCAATTTTGGAATTTTGACACGCACTCCACACTCACATGGATAAGCCACTTCCATATGCTGTTACCAGTTAATGTTGGGTGCACCAACGGGATTGTCGACAGAGGCCTCGTCGACATCCTATTCATCGAAAGCTTCGATAAAAATTGGTTATGGCTGTGGACGACAACAACTCCAACTCACTATTGTTCCACCTGGAGAAGAGTTCCTGACCCCAACTTTGAAAAATAGCTCTCGCTTATTATTATTAATGTTATTGCATTTTCTTTATTTTACTGAATTTAGTTGTTTTATAGTTTTGCTTAATTTTGTTAATTTCTTTATTTTACTAAATTTAGTTGTTTTGTAGTTTTGCTTAATTTTGCTAATTTTGGTTATTTTGCTAAATTTGGTTAATTTCGGCGATTTTAATTTTGTTAATTTTGTTAATGTTTTGGAGTATTAAGTTTAGCTAATTTTGTGGTTTGGTAATTTTTATTAGTATAAAAATTTAGTAGTCTTGTTAATTAAAGTTAGTGCGTTTATTTGCGTAATTTTGATTCGAATTAGAATAGTTTCTACATTTGTTTAATTGCGGTAATTTTTATTGCTTTTGTAATTAATTATATATGCTTAATTTAGTTCATCGATTAATTGGTCAATTAAATATTAGATTAGCTATTTAGTTATCGTTGTGGTCGATACTTCGAATTTATAAATTTCAAATTTAAATAACCTGTTATGTTAATTACTATATTGCCGAATATTAGTTATATTGCATTTACATTCTACGGTTATTACTATTATTATATGGAATGGATGTTTGAATGATAAAAATAATTAATTTGCGTTTTGTCGAATTATATCATTTTGAATTTGAAATGATTTGCCGCCACTTCTCTGTCGCGAACTATTAGCGCGCGCGAGCACCGTAGGTTTGGTTGGGCTCGTCATTAGACGCTACCGGCGAATCTACGAAAAACGTGCTCCACACACTCGCGAGAGCACTCTCTGAGATTAGATTTTGTGAAAATTTGATTGTCATTCGTTGCGTTTGTGAAGGAACAGGTGTCCAACACGAGGAACTTCGTCGTTTGTGGGTCTTTTAAGAGCCGTAGCCGATTTACATTTGTTTGGTGAGTCGATACTCAATTGTCTAAAAATTCACATTCTCGTTTATTATCTATTTTGTCGAGTAAAGTATTTTTTTGCATAGGGAATGTGGATTTTTCACTTTTCCTTTCGGAATGACGCCACTTTTGACCTCGTGGTTTCTTAAGTTCTTTTGCGGTTTTAAAACAGTCTAAAATGACTAGACTTGATCTTTAACAAATAACAATGGTGCTCATTTCGAATTATTATTTTGATTATTGTGTGTAAAAATGTATATCCTTGAGTTTGAGAGACTTCGTGATACCTCGTGTAGCGACCCTTTTCTTTACATGATAAATTTTCAAAATGTCGCGTTTTTCTTGAGTAGAAATTAATTTTCGTTAGTGATGATTTTCCCTTGTAAAATAAAAGTAGATTATCATAATTTTTTTTTGTAATCATTAACGTTATGATTTTTTGTGTGGAATATTGCCGATATTTTGCGAAATATCTTAGTTTAGTAGAGATGATTATTTTGTGAACTTCGCGTTCTTATTTCGAATATTTTGGAATAATATCATGGTCAAAGCCCCCTTTTTTTGTAAATAGCCGAAAATTGATTTGGAATACAATTTTGTTAATAATTATTGATTATGATTTGATTTTTTTGTGACTAATTTACACCCCAACAAAACCCTACGCCCAATGCTTTCCCTTATTTTGTGCTGAGTTAGCTAGAACAAATTTGTGACATGCCGGTAAATTGTATTTGAACCTCATTCGTTTGATTAAAGATTTATCTTGAGATTTTGTTTGATTGATTCGGATATTTTGAGTTTTTTTGGTGACGAGTAGTCTCTGAGGAATTAACCTGGTGGTCTAGTTTCCTCAAGACAAATTGTTTGGTTATTTTTGGTGGTGACGTTGGCTCATAGGTGAGCCTGGCGCCCAACCTCCTTATGTTAAATGGTTCAAATACAATTCCGAAGGTGAGTTGCATATATCCTTGAACAGCGAAGGGATTGCAATAAAATAAGAATTTTACAGGTTTTATTGATTTTGAGATTTTCAATTTTGAATAGTTTTATTGTTGAATATCTGTGTAATCACCACTATGTGCCATTGTAAAATTATTATTTTTTATTCTCTCACAATGGCGCCCAACGTGGGGCAGCCTAACATTAAATATTGTTGAATATCTGTGTAATTACCACTATGTGCCATTGTAAAATTATTATTTTTTATTCTCTCACAATGGCGCCCAACGTGGGGCAGCCTAACATTAAATATTGTTGAATATCTGTGTAATTACCACTATGTGCCATTGTAAAATTATTATTTTTTATTCTCTCACATTGATAATTACACTGACAATCAAAAGTTTTTAGAAGCAGATCACGAGTACAAATGGATTGATGGGGAAAAGTCATATGATTATAATTTAAAAAATGAATATTTGTTGACTGATAAGGATTCTAATACCATTCTTTAAAGTACTCCTGCTAAAATTTTTGAAATGTTCTTTTCACTATCTATGAAACAATACATCATAGATTGTTTTTCCAAAATTGGATTGGAAATCTCCTTGCATGAACTTGATATTTTTATCGGTATAGTGATTCTTACAGCGTTTAACAGTCGTTCATCTGAAAAAGATTACTGGTCAACAGATCCTCTTTTGGAATATCAGATTATTAAATTGGCAATGTCTCGAGATCGATTTTCAGAAATTAAAAGACTAATAAAGTGTTCAAAAGAAAGTGATCAAAATCCGAATGATTTCGCCTGGCGAGTACGTGCCCTCTTAGAAATTTTTAATTCCAATACAAAGCGCTTTGGCTTTTTTTAAACGGCTATGTCTGCAGATGAAATGATGGTAAAATTTAATGGGCGATTGCATTTCAAACAATTTATTCGCAACAAACCAGTTCGATTTGGTATAAAAATGTAGGCTCTTTGCGGTTCTGACGGATTCTTATTTGAATGTGACATTTATTGCGGAAAAAATGCAAATAATAATGACAAATTAGCTAAATGTGCTTTAAGAAGTCGTGTTATTTTGAATCTTTCTCAAATATTACTGCTGTCAACTCCGAAGAAAAAATTAGATCAGTATCATCTGTATTTTGACAATTATTTCACAAGTCCTGACTTGCTTGTTCATTTGGGAAACATTGGCTTGAAAACAACTGGAGTTGTCCGAAAAAATCGCGTGACAGAGAAAATTAATTTACCGAAAAATTCTACAAGGGGTACCTTTGAGGTAAAGCATAAAGAAAATAGTGGCATGAATTACATCACACTTCTGGATTCGAAAGAAGTTTCCTTATTTTCGACATGTGCTGGTGTAAATACGTTGAAAGATAGAAAACGCTACTCGAAGGAGAAAAGAAGTAAAGAATCGATTTCAATGCCCAATGCTTTTTGTAATTATAATTGTTTCATGGGTGGTGTCGATCTCCATGATCAGTATTGCAGTAAATTATTGCCTCCTTTGAGAAGTAAGAAATGGACTTTGCCGGTGATAATGCGTCTTATTCAATCATCTGTCGCTAATGCTG